ATAAGCAAATATGTCACCAGCGCTATTACGCGTTCTGTTGAGGCTGAGCCCAGGAGGAGCAGTGAATCCCTTCCCGCCATGTTCCGCCTTAGTAGAGTGAGCAGAGCACGCATGACAACTTTAGCACTGGTTCCAAAAATGAATGTCATATTCGTACTGAGGACACAAGTAATCCTTGTGTGTAAGTTCTTAAATTTTTGGCAGAAAGGGGGTTATGCCAGATCGTCGCTTTTGGGCGCGAATGACGCCGGCACCCTCGTGATGAGGACCACCGATTTCTCCCAAATACAAGTCTGCAGCTAACTCGTTGAAAGAAATGGTGGCCCAGCGCCGAGAATGGATATTTCGTGATAAAGCACCGAATAAACTCTATGAGTGGCGTTTCAGCAAAAAAAATTGAGCTTTGCAATCGTTAAAGTGGAATCGTGCCACATACTAAAGGGGAAATACGTGCACGTTTTCATGAATGTGGTTCAATCAGCGTTCTAGAGGTAATAGCAATGCTTAACCTTGGTTAGTGGACTTCGTTGAGGAACGGGACGTATAATGTTGTCGTTACATTCCACGTTCAAATTACTGAAGCTTCGCGGAGGAGGCCGTGGAGAATATCTATCCATCCACCTGAAACCTTTCCAGTTCATTCGATTAATGAAATGTAAAGTTAATATCGATGGAAAAATGTTCGCGATTTTTTCCAGGATCAATAACTCTCTGATTCTACTGATAATTATTCGATTTCTAGCAGCAAATTTTCATCAGTGGAGTGTGGCTCCCTTGGGGCAAGATGGCAAATAAACAAGCAGACGAAGCGGATTATATGTGCTAGGGTTCCGATGCATGCTCCGCAAACTGTGGGCGAGACTCAGCTCTGATGTGCTCCGTACATCGTAGCCCATGACCATCCCATAACAAAGCTAACCTGGACTGTCTAAATGGCTCTCCAGGCAGCGCACGGAGTACAATGAGGATTTGCAGCTAGGAGGATCGTTTTTTATTGCTGGAAAGAAGGAGCCGTATTTGCCTCTGAGGGGAAATTTTTCGATTCGCGACTCTTCACGGTTTTCCGAGCTCCACTGAGGCATTACACCTGCCCCTCCCTCCCGCTCTACGGTAGCTTATGAAAAAAATCTGGAGAGCTCTATGTGAGAGGAAACTGCGAAGGTTGATTAACATTGCAGGGTGGCTGGATGAAAACCAGAGGAGGAAATCTCAAGGAGGTGGAAGGTCCTATTCTGCAAATCTTTCCCCCAAACGCGAACACGTGCCTTGTCTCCAGGTGACGATATGAGCTGCGAGTGCTTTTATTTGGGGAATTAGGATTGGGCGGTAGGGTGTTTGCGGAACAGTCGGCAATAAGAGTAGGCGAGGCTTTTGTTGGCTTTCATCCTGTCACTGAGATACTATATACCCAGATATCCTCCCAACTCTCACTGGGGTTAGTCTGGTCTGGCTCACTGCTAACTCTTACACCGTGGCTCCTCCCTCCTCGACCAGCAACACAAGGGAACACTGGCTTGTTACCTATTGTTACCTAAACGATGCCCCATAAAATCAAGCCAAAAAATTGGAAAATTATCAACATATAATCAGGGAACTGTCAAATAAAAAAGCGCACTAGTTTTTTGGAGACTTTAGAGCGGACAACGGTAATTAATCACTGTGAAATACCCCATGTATCAAGTTCCCTAGAGAAGGTTGGTCTGAAGTCATAGAGAAGTTGAGCGGGCTTTCGCAGTACAAAGGCAAAGGCCGTGAAGTTGTCCCCTGAAGTGGAAACAACTACTTGAATCAAACCCGGCGACGTGTACCTGCTTTAAGTGAGTCGCGCTCGCTCATTCTTGAAGGCAGTCCCCATGCTCAAACCATTCGTGCGTTTCCTTCTAGTTTGGTCCTCAGTCTCCAAGACTGTCCCACATTCACGGCATCATGCTAAATAGCGAAGCCGCTGTGGCCCTCAAAAACAGCAGTTCTGACGCCCCCTAGTTGCCCCGCCCACAAGAACTAAGGCTATTTTCTGTCACGAGTTCAGTTTTCACTCCAGTTTTTCGTTTCTTTTCTCACTATTAGATGGTACTAGCATTGAATACGAAACGATTTCGGAACCAGAGGCGGCAGGATATTGCTTTGCTGGCATAAAACGAGCAGCTCCGGAGAACTCGTCCAGAGAGGCTGCTAGGTCCTTACCCAGGATGTTCTCCATGTTTTTTTTTTGTTTTTCTTCTCTGGCGATTTACTTAGCGACTATAGCTTTGCAAATAAACGCCATTACCCACAGTACCAATCGCTGGTTTGTTTTTGAAGGCAAGTGGTACGACAAATTCCCAAGACGTATAGAATTAAAACACCTAGCAATACAGATTTCTGCACCCCTAAGCAGGCGCTGCTAGAGGCCTTTTCTAAGAATGGTATCTCTATCGAATTGTAACTTAGCGACCCGGACGCCCACAGCGCCCGCCCGCCCACAACGCCCGACCCATGTTGATGCTCCAG